GTTTTTTGGATTCAATGACAACATGAGACTGACCCTACCCTGTCTGATCATGACTACTGCCGGCTGTTTCTGTAGATGCTGTGTTCTTTGATGGTATTGTCACATCTACATACATAGGGTTTTCCTGTAGGGCAGCTAGCACTTCGTTGAGTGACAGATTTGTAACTGTAGGACAAAGAGACTGGCCCTGCTCTATCTGATATTCACCACTGGTCATTACAGCTGTGGTGTTTGTGTTGGATTCAGTGATGGTCTCTGACTGACCCTGCCTTGTCTGATCATGACGACTAGTCATTTCAGTAGCTGTTGTGTACAGAGAATTTAGATGCGAAGCAGTCGGCCCAGTGCCATAAGATAGATTTCTAGCATCCAGGGATTCAGTGATAGTCTCGGACTGACCCTGCCATGTCTGATCATGACCACTTGTCATTACAGAAATTGTTGTGTTTGTGTTGGTATCAACAACACCGGGGTTCAGTCCTACTTAGTAGTAGAGGATACCTTGTCCTCCTCTTGTACCAAATTGTGAGAAAGATGGTGCCAATCAGGACAATTCCAACTACTGGACCACAGACAGAGCCAAGGAGAAAAGGTAGGTTGGTACCGGGAGCAGTTTCTGGTTTGGGTGAAGGGGTTGTCAGGGGCGAGGTCAGGGTTGCTCTTGCTTTGCTTGCATTGGCTGCAAGAAAGCGATAGATAATGGGGCCATTGTAAGAGCATGGAACTCCATGGTAAGAGTAATAAGCACTTTCCGATGGGCTGACGAGGGACTGTAAGGAAGATGTCGAGACTACAGGAGGTGCTGACGGGCTAGCATTGCTTTCTTTGCTGCCAACTGAAGATGTTACCAGGTTCTAAGAAAATACTAACTAGGATCAGAGCATCTATCTAGATTATGTCAGACAAGTAAACAGTCGGATTACAGGCTCTTATAAAACTCTGGCATGCAAGTAAATTTAAATATACAGCAATACGTATTTTGGCACGTAAATAATCAGCCCTGCAGCTCAGTTTGATTGCCTCAAATATGCATGAGACACGTGATGGCTGCTGTCCTGTGTTGTCATACCGCCCACAACGGCTGTTTTTTACGGTCTCCACTTTGGTATCAGGCCTATCATCTATTGTAATCGGTCATAAAATAGTTAAGATAACGTATTTTGCGTTTCTTTTTTATTTGTATCAGATCTTGGGGGAATGACTAATATACCAGAGAGTATGAAGAGCGCCTGGCAGAACGCGCGGACGCGGATCTAGAATATCGTTCAACAAATTGGTTCTAGAAAATAAACAATATCAATTAGTCCAACACCAAATTATTTTTCCTTTCCAATGTGTTAATGCAATGCTTTGGGTTTTGCTTTAGACCTGCCAATAGACCTACGTAAAACCGTTTTGAAAATGCACCTACTCCTGACTTTAGTCCTCCTTTAACCACGTTATCGCACAAGTGATGCGCGATGCTTCTTGGTGAAGATAATTAGAGGAGCGTTTGACACGGGATTTTCGTGATCTCTGAAGAATACCATAGTCTGGACAGACAGGAAACAAATTGTTGTCCACAGACACGTGTAATGTTGCCCAATGCATCACGTCTGCTTGGCGGCGCGTCTAATAGAGACTTGGCGTCAGCCCCAAATGATAGAAAAACGTGCAATTTTTCTTCCCCTGCTCTGTGCCCTGGAAAGCCTTTGTATCTCACACAGTTAAGTCGCTCGGTGAAACAAGACGCATGATTAAAGACACTCATGAATAAAACATTCACGCACTTTTTTTCTATGCAGCAGAACTCATTCCATTAAGATATCATCTTTATACTAGTGCGCGTAATTCATCATCGTCTTCATATATAATATGACAATCCGCCCGTCGGGGTCCCCACAGGACGGTTATAACGAACCGTACTAATCATACCAGACGTACGCCTTGTTACACCGCTCATCTGAGTAATCACGACATATTGTTCTGCAGCAGGTGTAAGTACAATTACTGAAGGTCGGCGATAGACACCGCACACAAAGGGATACGAGTACCTGTTTATAAAGTATGAGCATTGTTTAAGCCAGACATGAGCCACCAGATTCTTTTGTATGGAGCACTTAAGTCTGGCAGACAGGAAGGCACGAATAAATGAGCCTATGAGCTGATGTAAGTAATGATTATTGCAACAATGGATCTGGGGAGGATGCCTTAACGGTTATAGTTCAGCGCTAAACAGTCCCCCAGGAAAAGCACGGATTGTGTCCTATGGTTCAAAAGAGGACGAATCGTTTCACATTCGTTACGAGATGAGGACAGGCGTAATCCTGTAATGGCAACAAATGTTGTCGACATTCCGTGTAGATTTGCAGCGTCCGAATACCCCCGAGTGGATCATGTTGTCAAAAGAAATAGATCCCACTCTCAAATATTGTATGAAGACTGAGCATTTGGAAGAAATAGTTAAGGAAGAGATAGCTGCAATTTTGCCTCCTATCAGCCTCCTCCTTGAAATTGTATTATCATTTCAAAGCTACCAATGATAAGACGCGTTAGTCCTATCGCCCTGGCAGAGGTTTGGATTCTCTTGATGCTAGCTTATTAGAATGAACAAGGTTTAAACCTCCTTGAAATAAACTGTTTGTATAGCGCAGAATTGGATTGTCTGTCTGCTTGGCTACTCTGGTGTGGAGGACAGGGAAGGTTAGATAGATACTTGGGGAGGGCAGCGCTGTAGACCAGCAGCGCATCCATAACTGTCGTTTTGCGTCTCCCCATACTTTGTGAGAGCCGGCTTTGTTATCATATTGTTAGGCCTTATTAAAGAAGATGGGTAGCATAATGGCTCGTTTATTGAAATATGATTAATGCTGGATGAAGCAATGAAACCCGCGGGTAGACGTGAGACGGTAGAATGGATAGCCCCTGTGTGAACCGCACGCTAGACTATCCATCATGGTAATCATGTGAATATGCTCCATGATCATTCGGTAATTTTCTAATGAACACTCTCGTCCTTGGTCGTTGACCGGGGATGCATGCACCTAGGCTATGTATGTTCTGTTGTTGTTGTGACTGTTGAATACGTATTCGTGTTGTGATGTTTGTCACAACATTGCCTTGCCCTCTTATTGTCTAATCATCAACAAAGACAGATGCAACAAACATTTGTCAAATATAACATGAGTTCCATTTTCTAAAGTGATGTCACTCCCAGTTCCACTCAAACACACTTGTAGAGCTGTTCAGCTGAAGGCGACGGTCTTGAAAACTCTCATTAGAATTCCTGTAACAATCAGAGCGGTCAGCTGTTGTCCACAGAGCGTTTGATGAAAGTTGGGGGGGGGGGTGTTATTTACGGACGGATATCTGGATGGAACGTCGCCGCAGTTTTCTTTTTGTTTCCTAGCGAGGAAAGTGCTGACACGAGTGATTTTCGATTCCCGGTTTGTCTGACTGGTTCTGCCCGGGTCGGAGGGAGGTGAGGTAATAAAGCGAGTGAGGGAGATGGATCCTATCCTTGAGGAGGGGAGACGGCGGCGCCTTGTTGTCCATCCTCCAGGGAATCTCCAATGTCCCTGTCGTATTTACCGTATCTATATGAAGGAAAAAAGGAAAGGAAAAGACACAGATGAATGGGTTGACTCCTTTGACCTTCAGGGAAGTGAGTCGAAGCGGCTTCAGTCAGTCATGTGACCCTTTCTGTGGAGCAGATACCACCGTCAGGTCAGGTTACTCTCTCCCACTTTGTGACCTTAATCAGTCTTCAAGGTGATGTTATGTGGGTCCATCTCTTGGCAAATAGATAAACAAATGAGCAAGCAAGCATATTGTGACACATATTCAATTTGACATATTTTTTTTGCCTTCATTTCAGAACGTTAATGAGTATGAATTGATTGCGTTTGAAGAACGCTTTGAGTTGCAGTCTTTTAGAGATATTTGTCCCTTTATGTTACAGGCCTTGGTTACAGGCTGTTCTGTAGATACAAACTGTTGGTAAAACGTCTCCCAACAGACAGCAGGAAGCCTTCCTAAATGACTGATTCCTTAAGGTTATCATCCGTACATGCCAGTTGTACTCCCTACTCCCTTTCGTCCCGTCCAATTTATTTGGACAGTAAATTCCTCCCTCCTAGATCCCGATTGCGCACGAGACAGAGGATTTGGAGTGAAAGCCTCGCCCGCTGGCTGGTCTTGATGATCCCTACCAATTTGGACGTCAAGGCCAGGGAGCGCCCTTCTTCATTTGTTTGATTAGCCCTTGTGGACCTTACATTGTCGCCGTAATTCAGACAGGCTTTTCCTTAAGATGGTCAGACCGGTCTGAGTAGTGATTGGTGAGCGAGATTTTCGCTTGAAGTAGTTTGGATTCCCCCCAAGTCGCTGATGGCTCCGCCGGTGGTTGATGGGTTGAATACAGGCCGAGGCTCTGATACCCAACCTTTCTGTAGATTTAATTCGTTACATTCGTGCAGATACTAGCCAAATAATATTAACCTTTACAACTGAATTATTCTGAAGGTTTATCGTTGATTGTTGCAATGAAGTCCTCATTTGCATTATTAATGTCTAATGATGTTTTCTTCCAAATACCGCAAGTATGACATTCCCCGAATCAATGTTTTCTTCTACTGTGCAGCTGCTGGCGCTGGTGTTGTGGAGTGGTGAGGCGAGCTCCATCCAGACCGGCACGCTGAAGCTTTATCACCCCACCCAGGCCAGGCGATGGGACACGGAGGTAAGTATGTTCGCACATTAACATGTATTACACCCTATGCACACACAGCATACACTACTGATATCAATTCCTGACCGTCTCCCACACGTGTGATCTCAGGTACAGATGGCTGCCAAGCTGGCGGCGCACCAGAGCCCCAACATCATCAAATACCTGTGGAACTCTGACGACCACACCACCAAGGTGCTGCACGTGCCCAACAACTGGGTGGACCAGGTCTTCACCAGGAACAAGTAAGTGCTAAATCTGCACCGGTACTAAAGCGACAAATGAAACTTTTGATCCTTTGAACCTCAAACTCTTATTCACCTGTAGGTTAGTTATCTCTGTATGAAGGGTCCGAAACGTCATGGTTGTTGAAACCGATAACCCCAAAGATGAATAAAACAGACCTATTATTTGGAGTTACGGTTAACTAATAAAAGCATTTCCTGTATCCCTGAAAGGTACATCTGTATCCAGACGTACGAGCACGGGTCGCTGCGGTTCTTCCTGCTGGAGCACCTGGGACTCCTCACGGACCTGCTGGTACAGATCGTCGCCACGGAGATCGCCAAGGGCCTGGCCCACCTCCAAAGTATTGGTATCGTCCACAACAGCCTCAGCGCCGCTTCGATTCTGATAGGAGGAGACATGGAGGTTAGTTTCTCGTCTCGGCGAAAGGAACAGGAAAATTCAAAGTAACTAACGAGTAAGCATTTCACAACAATGTGTTCCAGGACGAGGCACACCGTAAAATAACTACTAGTACCCCAACATCTTCATGCACACGCTCACTTACTACAATATTACAGCAAATGTCATAAAGCTATGGATTTTGTATGCATAAAAATGCATTTATAGATTTGGAAAAGCTTTAAAAACTTTAAAGAACTTAAACTTAAACGCCATACGTATCTCTCCATTTCAGCATAGTGTCATTTTGCGAGTTGCCATATCGGACTTTGACAGCTGCAAAGAAGCCCCTGTACCAAACCCGGCGGCACAGGAGGCAACAACAGCTGACGTTATTGGCTCACCAACGTCGGGTATGGGCTCCACATACGATCTCGACATCCGGTCCTTGGCATTGATCTTGCTGGAGATGCTGGCGCGGCTGCGGTCCCGGTCCTGGACGAGCCCCCCGCGGGCCAGGAAGTTCAGCAGCGGCAGGAGGAGCAGTAAGCTCCGGGAACGGCTACGGGTGAGCGGCAGCGACCAGGAGTCGCCTCCCAGACTTGGGGAGGGAATCGAAGACATGAGCGCGGAAGAAGACGATGCGTTCGGAGAAGTCCAACTACAGTGCTCGGGATTAAGGGAAAGTCTTTCGTACGACGCAGGTGACTCCAGAACTTTTCCTACACAGACGTTCCGAAAGGACAGCTTCAACCTGACGACGTTCATGCCAGAGTGCACGGAGCAGGCCGAGTCGGTCGTGTCCACCGGACAATCTTCATCCGGCATCCTGACGGGCAGAGGCCGGCGTCCCGACTCCGCCAACTCTTCCGTCTTCAACACCCTGGAGTCGAACAACGGGAACCGTCACGTCGTAGACATCAACACTACCTACGACTCCACGTTGTCAAGAAGTGACGGGGCGGAGTCAGACAGTAAGTCGAGGTACACTTGGCCAAACGGTGTCGAAACTATCGATGCCATCTACTCCGTAGAGTCAGAGGGATCAACTTTTAGCAAACCGATCTCCATGACAGAGGAGGGCGACAGCGACAAAAATGGCGCTGTGTTCGAAGGCATAACACAGGACTCCCTCTCCGGGGTTAGAAGTCCCGGAAACCGGATAGTCGTCCAGGATTTCACCAGCATCATTACGAGTCTGGACGGATATGACGAAGAGGAACAGAAGGGAAGCGACGATTACTCCGAGGCGTCCACCATACCGGCCGGAGATGACAACCACTCTCTCTGTAACTCTCAGCCATCTACAGTGTCCAGACAAGGTGTTGCCCTCTCGGAGGCGTCCACACCGCCCACCTGTAACTTTGACGTCTTCCTCTCCCCGGACAGCATGTCCGCCTACCTGAGAGACGACACCTCCGAGCGGCTGTACACCCGTAAGCCGCCACGCACCTTCTCCTTCACCCAGGAGGAGCGGCTGCCGTCCGCAGTGGGTCCGCACCACCTCCGGTATTGGCGGGAACTCCGGCTGATGTTCCCCTGGCTCCTGGAGGAGCCGGCGTCGCTAGGCAACAAACGGCAGCTCCAGAAGATCATTAACGTGCTGCGGAGTGGTCTGGAACTCAGGAAGGTAAGCTGGTGGTCTGTTTCATTGCACTTTTATATCTTTCTCTTCCGAATCTACCGACGGAGAATCCGGGCTTTCAGTACCAAGGACAGACACCACACAATGTACATGTGATGTATCCGACTTTTTACGTAGCTCTATACAAGAATGGTATAAAATACATTTTAGGAGAAAAACATACGGGGTGCTACATACACGTCCTATATACCCATGTGTCAATCATCTATGGCCATGGCAACTGTTGTTCTTTCCCTTCTCTGACAGCTGCTGCAGATCATGACGCAATGTCTGGTAAGCGACCCTGCACCGGTCGTGGAGCAAGTGTTGGAGAATCTCAATCAATGCATGCCGTCTACAGACATCTAGTGACTTCATCCAGTGATATGTAGTGCTGCCAATATCCGTCACAGTCCACCAGTGTTCAGCAGTATCCAACAATGTACGGTAAATTGACGTAAAAAGTGTAAAAAAATTAATGTACATATTTATGTTTATTGACAAAGTCTTTGACAAATTCTACACCAACTTGTTCGACGGATTGAGTGTAGACTCGCCCTTCTCAATGGGTAAGGTTTAAGGATGAACTATTAGGAAATTAAAATTAGATCTCGTTATATTTCTGTTAAAAAGAAGATCAGTTTCAACGATCTATGAATCAAACAATGTTGCTGATTAATGGAACTTAAGAATGGATTACCTTCAGCTTAAAGAAATGGTGAGTTTGAAAAACAGGACAAAACAGAAAAACACACTGTTGCGGAAAGTCTTCTAATGCCTTTGTTATCCATGTTGACAACCAATGTTGACATTGCTTGTCTTAATCTGGAACATGGTCTGTGCATTTCACTTAAACAACCACGCTGCATCAAGAAAGCTCAGGATTGTGTGGGAAGGGGAAGAACTTGAAAACACGCCCCACCCGGTGTACCTCGGTGTAACCCTAGACAGGACCCTGTCCTTTAAAGAACACGTCAACAAGCTCAGGAAGAAGGTATCTTCTCGCAATAACCTTCTGTCCAACCTCGCTAACTCCAGCTGGGGAGCAGACCCAAACACTCTCAAGCAGACAGCGCTGGCCCTATGCTATTCCACTGCTGAGTACTGCGCCGCAGTATGGGAGAGGTCACCCCATGCCCACAAGGTCGACGTGGAACTGAACAGAGCCTGTCGTACCACCACAGGCAACCTGAAGGCTACCCCCCTGTCAGCCCTGTACATACTGGCAGGAATCTGCCCTCCTGGCATCCGAAGAGATGTCCAAGCAAGGACAGAGCGGGAAAAACAACAGAACGACCCAAGACACCCTCTACACGGGCACCAGGAGACACCCCGGCGACTGAGGTCCCGCCGGAGCTTCATGACTGTCCAATGCCTCGAGGGGAAGACACCAGAGTCCCTCAGGGCCGATCTGTGGAAGAGAAATGACCCGAACAACAACAGGGCACTCCCACCCCCCAGCGAGTCCCTGCCTCCAGGGGCTGACATGCCTAGAAGGTCTTGGGTCGCCCTGAACCGGGCAAGGGCGAAGGTTGCAAGGACAGCTGACAACCTGCTACGGTGGGGAAAGTCAAACAGTGCAGCCTGCAGCTGTGGCAAGGACCCCCAAACCCTACAACACCTGATGAGAAACTGCAGACTCTCGCCGACCTGCACAGACTCAGACCTCCAGGAGGCCAGTGAAGCTGCTCGGACTTTTGCTGAGAGAAATAGCGACAAGCTATGATGATGATCTGGAACATATTGTTGTATAGGTTGGTGACATTGGAGAAATGTACTAATATCGCCTCACAGGCTTTTGTTGTGGGACTTTGGGGTTACTGTAACTGGGGTTACTGCATGTACATGTCTGTTCGTGGTGCATGACAAGAAGCTGTACTGAGTATATATATTGTACCTCGTACCTCCCTCCTGCTGTCTGAGATTTGTTTACTTTATATGAACGACATCCTCGTCTGGAGGACTGACGTAGTCAACGGTAATGTTGAGAGGACAAATATTTAACGTTGCGTCATGACGTCAGTAGATCTCCAATGCTCTCGGTAGACAAAACTGCCAATCGCATGTGATTTTTCCTGATGTATGTTGTTGGACTTTCACCGAAAACGCAGTTCAGAAGCAAACGAATATTAATAGGATTCAGACACATTGATGTATCAGCAAGCAAGGCCTCCGCTATGTAACCAAGAGCTTTGATTGGTGGCTGATATCGTGGCGTGTTTGTTAGGTTAGTACTAATCATCAGTACGTATTGCGTGCCGTCTAGATTGAAATTTCTGGTAAAAGGAAGCGATTGTTTCAGAAAACCTGACATATGGTGCAGCTGCCTCGAGGACGTGAGTTGAAGATAAATGTTAGGCGTAGCAATCGCTGAAACTGTGATTCATGAATGTTAATGTCGTCTTAATGTACCTCAACAAACTGTGTACCTCAATGTTTGGTAAAGAAAACGACCACCCTCTTTAGCTATTAAACAAGCATATGACAGCCATGTGGGTTTGAAAAAAAAACTATAGTTTTGAGTTTGCAAATGCAGAAAAGCCATTCAAGACTACCTTTCTAACTGATTGAAGCTTGATATGGAATAATCTTAAGTTAGATGACGACGGCAATGTTATGCGTACATTTCCTGATTATAGCAGATTTTACATACAAATATAGGACGTAAATTATGGTAAAATATTATGCCAAAGGTGGTTGCTGTACTTCTTGTACGTTTTGATATCACATGTTTGTACACTTGAATAAAGTATAATCCTGAATGGTGGATGATTATGGAAGGACATATCACACATTTATTGGTGACTTTAAGTTTACAAAATTGCATGGCTGACTTCTATTTTCATTTTTACAATAAATGGCTATGACGTCAGGAATGGTCCTTATAATAGAACAATCTACGATGAAAGTTAACAGCACAAAATGGGAATACAAATTAAAGTCTTAATGATGCTCTCCAAGCTTAATCTACAAAAATGTCAATTTGACAATCTGTCACAAATTTCTTGGCATATATTTTGAATGAGTCCCCAATTGCAACCAATATTTTCCATCTTTTCTCTAGACACTCCTTAAAACATAACCATTACATACTCAGTACCTGACGTTCTGTCTATGTTACGCTTCATGGCAATACCTCAGGAACCCTCTAGGGACAGTGAACAGACACAGAGATCAGTCTAATCATAAATTTATTATATACATCTTTGTCCATGACACCCGGCTATAAAGCAGCATTAGCAACAAACGAACATAAAAAATAGATGCTGTCATTGAGTTTCTGTAAAGTTTCAGGGAAGCTTCAGAGTTAAGCTCCTGACAGTGCACCATCTCATCATCAGTACACATCAAAGGTATGCTGTGAAAGGGTTGTTAATTATTCACACCACATACTTCAACACTCTCCATAGCTGTCAATCAGGATCCGGACAAGGCCCTCCTTAACCTTCTCCTTGTCAAGGCAGCCTTTTGGTGCCAGGTCTGGTTCAGTTACAGGGTAAGGTAGCAGGGAGGTTAAAAAAGGTCCTTGTCTTTCAAATGTTATGTTGGACTTGGCAAGAAGTGGGATAAAGTCCAGATTGGTAACACAGACTACTGCAACATTTTTCTTACTTGTTGTTCTTTTGTTTTGTCCACTGAAAGACAGCTAATCAAGTTGGTGTGACATTTTTGTCTCACATTGTGTATTTTGTTACACAAACTCATTATGTACCTTGGATCCTTGACTAATTACTGCAATAGCAATATGCCATTTGAACACTGACCATACAGTTTTTCTTTGCACTTATTTTGTCAACAATATCAACCATTCATACACATCTGTAACACTGTTGTAATTTGTTATCATGATTTCTAGTTCGGCCAGTAAAATCTATCGTACAGCAAAGAACTCTACATGCAACAGACTTCATCATACATGAGTTGGCAGGAAGCAGAGTCCAAAAGCTTTTGCAGAGTCGCTCTTTTTAGTTGAACATTTGTCACTTCAGACTTAAACCGTACAAACACTGAAGGTTTAACATTGGGCCCTAAGAAACATTTTAACACTAAAAATATGCCTTATAAATGTACCAATATAGAAGAAATGTATACAAAATCAGTGGGCCAACTATGCTGATTGCAGCCTCTTTTTATGATTACATCATACCAACATGCCAGGATTTGATCTGCAGTGGTCCACATATCCATGACTCCTGTCTGAATAATCTATCATCTTTTGGATTGACAGTAGCCTTTTACTTCAGGCATATATTGGCCAAAATATCATTATTTCTTGGAATTTCGTAGAGTTTGACAGATAAGACAAAGAAAATTGCTGGGTACCAAAAGCAACTTTCCATTTCCATCACATACAGGAACAAAGAAAAGAGTCTTACAATGCGACTCAATTAAAAAACAACAGAGGACTTCATTGCAATTTTCCCTCATCCAAAAAAATTCTCTCATGTAATACTTGCTCATGTAAGGTTTAGCACAGATTTGATAATTTGAGGTTGTATTGGCAATTACGTATAACACTGGTTCAGAAACTTGAATTTAAACTGTCAAAAATATGACAGAAATAGACATCATGATATCTAATATCATACAATATCTCCTTTCAGATTATATATGAAATTCTACGGTACAGTCATCAACTTAATGAAACTGTCCAATTTCCTAAAAAAAGTGACCTGTGTCAATTCCAATACTTGCTATGGATTTGTTTCTCATAAGTATGCATAAAGAGGGACAAATACCTTTGGTGTGAAAAGAGTGAAATTATTTAAGGAAATAAAATCAAGAGCTATACATAATCTTGCAAAACCTGACAGACTTGGTCCTCTCTTTAAACTTTTTCTAATTTTAAAATTCATTTCTTTCATATTCACCAATCTTATAATCATGATTCCAAAATTACAAAAATTCAAGTTCAACTTACAGAAGGTATATAGAATATTTTAGATACATTAATTTGGTATATCTACACATTTACAACTAAGTGAAGCAATTTCTCATTTACAAAAGTCAACAAAATTACAAGAATAACATTTCTTTTGAATTGAATGAAGGGTACACTGACATAAATACCCAATAAATATTCTTACTAGTATACAATCTAAACATTGCCGGCTTTTATGGATCCACTTCTTAAAGGAGACACATTCCTCTCTTGATTGCTGTACACAAACACGCTGAAATCTCATACAGGCAGACCTCTCTTCTACATTTAACCACCCCACACAGCATACAAAACCACGACTATAATACAAGCCCCTATACCGGCCCTGTCATATGTTGTACTGGGCATGGAAGGAGCCGTCCAGAGCGGGGGGCGGCCCACCCATGGCCCCCTGCACCGAGCTGCTGTCTGAAGAACCATCGTCCGAGGGTGCAGGGCTGTTAGGGTTGGCTGGGCACTCAAAATGGACACAGTGGAAAACCTGGAACAACAATTTTTTCTCTATTTATATTGATTTGACTTTCCTCCCCAATGGGGAACAGAGAGAACATATTCTTGTTCTCTTTGATCTCCTATTACAGGCTTTGGCTTGGCATCCTGGTATCAGATTTTATATTATGAAATTCCGTAGCTTAATTATATGGATTCAATTGTACCCCACTAATACTCAATCTAATACTCAAAAAGCCATTTCAACAAGGAGAATTTGAAATCCCAAATCTTTAGTAATATTATACTCAGTACTAAGCTGCTCTTCAGAACAAAACTCAAGAGACTTAAGCATATAAAAGCACCTAACACAATGCTCACCATCATAAATCTATGTTCCCTAACTGCAAAGTATGCTCTCCTTTGTGACACTCTAAACTTCAAGGTGAGCATCATTCTCAACCCTCTTTCTAGGGTTGCAGCCATAAATAACTAATTGACTTGATCAACAACTCCAGTATTGGAGATAGGTGTGGTGGAAGCTCATAGAATGGGCCGACTGCTGAATTATTCACAGATGTATGGTCCAGGAGTGTGTTGGTTACACCAGCGGGTGTAAATCCGTCTAGAGGGGTGTATTAAGACATAAATCTCTGCCTGCGGATTGGGCGGGAGTTCTAGTCCAGTGAGTCTTACCTGACACCCTGCACAAGGCCATGGTGTATTAATTATTTAGCTGTGTAACATGGCACAGCCTGCTTCAAGGTGGGAAGTTTCACAGTAAAAGTATGAAGTGAAGAAGGCTGCACACACATGATTCTATGTGAAACATCTGCACACAGACTGAGTTTTGCTGACTGAAAATATTGATGACAAATTACTGATATCAGTTTTCTTGCTACCTTACCACGTTTTGAATGGAATTCCATTTTCTAAGTCCATGGACTAGGGGTAAAATAGCTTCTTATGAAACCTTCATAGCTTCAACTGAAACCTTCCAACAACCCTATGCAGACAAGCAGGTGTCAGAAATCATTCAAAATAGTAACTTGCATAACAGTCTCACCACTAAATTTCACCCTTCACATGCACTTCCTGTATCAGCCCCCTGACCCAACTGACACTTCACAAGCTTCAAAGCCACTGAAATTGGTCTAACAAATATCCACTCTAGAAACTTGAAAGCCTTTCAGGGACCCTGGCCATTCCTCTGGGTTCATTACCAGCTGATAATAGAAACTGATGTTCAGGGTCAGCTGTGGTGGGAGGGAGAAACCCCGGGGAAAACAAAAACCTTGACCTCAAATGAAACAAGGAAATACATTGTAGGTCTAATAAATTCCATTCCTGAGAGTTACAGCACTTTTAGCACCCCACTGTGTTTTTCAGGTTCATTATGAACTGATGACAGCCACTACCTGCCTGCTGTGAGACACCCACAGGAAAACAACAACCTTGACTCCAATTGACGGACAAGAAAATCAATGGAATGTGGTTCCAAAACAACCACAGCTAACCCCCAAGAACCCTGGAGAAGCATTACGTCCTTAAAAATATGCAGGATTGTTACCTCCATGAAAAATGGAGGTATTGTTTTCGGCGGCGTCTGTCTGTGTGTCTGTGTGTCTGTGTGTGTGTGTGTGTCTGTGTGTCTGTGTGTGTTTCCGCAACTTTGTAGTCAGCATAACTTCATAACGCCTTTATGGATTGTGATGATATTTGGTATGCTGATAAGTCTTAGGAAGACAAAGGTCAAGGTCAAATATGGGCCTCCTGGTGTATGACCTTGGTACTGCAGCAGAACTTCCGGTTTTTGTATCTTTGGTCCTGAACATGCTATGGTCTTGAATTTTTGGTGACAGATAGCTTTTCCTGTCAGGAATAAGTGGTGTGGGTTTGGTCCCCCTAGCAGCTTGTTCAGGAACTGCAGGGGACTTTCGGGCGAAATCTTTGAAAGCCAATAAGTCCAGATAGGAACAGCGTATTTTCATCATTTTTGGTGTGTAGGTATCTGACAGAGAGATGTACATAATTAACTGCAAATTATGCAAATGAGGACTTTATTTGCATAATTAATGAGGAAATTCTATAATTACAGTGTTTTACATTATAGAACTTTCATACATGTAATGTATGTAACCTATGGCAGATGGAACATCAACAGATACTAATTATGCAAATGATGACCTAATTTGCATAATTAATGCAAAAAATCTATGATTTCTCAATGGTGAATGATGGGAATATCATACTTGGGACATCTTTAAGTTAATCAAAAGTTAACATCACGATGCATATATTATGTTAATGCAGAGGTTATTTGCGTAATTAAAGAAGAAATTTACATTTACATATCAAGCCCATATTTCATGGAGGTATGAGATCTCGGAACTCTTGTTAATATTGTTTCAAGTGCAATATGCCAAAAAATGAAATGAAAAGTTATACTTGTAATTCTACAGGTTATAGGAAAAATGTTTTCACTTCCTGGTACATACATGGAAGATTTATGAGAACTTGAGATTTCTTTTATGCACAAGTGTGACCAAAATGCACCAGGCATTAACAGCCAACATCTGTTGCAGTCACTTACCTCATTTGCAGTATTGTGGGTCCCAACTATCCGTATAAAGGTGACAGGTCTCTTCTCAAAGAATATTGTCTGCCAGGATCTGCACAAGAACAAAATATAAACATAAAAGAACATTATTCATAATCTATCTGTACATGACATCACAAATAGAAATGAATTATATTTATCAAGATTTGGAGATAACTTTATGGCGTACCATTTTAGGTGTGAGATCTACAGATCAAAATGGTCACCGATAGCTGACCAACAGTGTTTTCTCCCTATGACAGTCTACAGCAAGATGTAAGTTTAGAAACTTTCAAATACAAAACTAATATACAATGTTTAGCCAGTTTAACCAACAATCAATCTTTCCTGCATGGCAAAAGCTCTAACTCAAGTGCAATAGCCTGAAAAAAAGCATTCAATTTATAACTATAAATATAAGACCTGCTCACTAAAGCCTATTCAATCTAGTGGCTTCTGTGTAGAACAAGTTCACTGTACCAAGCTCTACAAAATTGATGGAACAGTTTTGCAACAATCTCTAATATGGGACACTTCTGGATCAGTAATACAGAGGCCAGTGTGGGCAAAATATGGAATGGCACAAATAGGTGCTTGAAAAAACTCCATCCATCTGATGGAACAAGTTCATTGTATGCCAGGCTCTTCCTTCCATATCCACAAACCCATGGAACAATCTCTAATCAATGTTGAAAACTGGGACAAGTCTCTTGGGAGCTCAGTGCCACCATGTAGTGGCTGTAGGTAATGAGGCCTGACATCTGTCAATGTCCTGTCAGAAGGCAGGGATGTTGACTTCTCATTTACCAAATGGAAAAGGTTGTAGCTGCAGAATGAGACAGCAGAGCAGGGGATGTAGGGAAGTCCATCCAGTTGATTGTGACATCAATAACAGTCCAGCAGTCTACAGGGGTTAGGGAAGTCTTTAGGAGGTGAAACCTGAGCTTATCTAAAGGTTTTAATGGTGACACAGAGAGAAAAATGACAACATCTGCCATCACCAGATAGTTTCCTTTACAATTCAGCATCATTATCAAATCTGGGAAACAAGTTATTTCACTGGACTAGACTGTTGACAACTTATCCTGTATTTGGATGATAAGTTGGTAATATTAAAGTAATGGGATTCTTTTCTAGAATCAGATTATGGTGAAGTTAATCAAGCAGCAAATATGTAAAAAAAACTCTGAGGAGATGTTACATCTCAGATTCCATTCAAGACAAAGTGTGATGTGCTTTCAAGAAGTTGACCTCATTCCAAGTGCCTGAACACATCAACATCCCACTTTCTTGACAAGGTGCAAGCTGCCTTACTCTTGATTGACCCTTCAGGTGAACTGACTTTTGCTGCCAGACATGAAACTAACTTTTCCTAGAAAGAGCTTAAGCTGAGGCTAATCAAGCAGGAAACACATTTTGGTAAAGAGACTTTCTTCAGAAGATGTCACATCTCAGATCTCTTTCAAGACACGTGTGACTGGCTTCTAAAAAGATAACGCCATCTCAAGAGTCAGTAAACATTCCACTTTCCCCTCAGGCTGTGTGAGATAAGCCTGTCCCTGCAGGCTGAGGAGCCTCAGCAGGAGAAGTTGTCAGGATGAGGGGATCAGCAGCAGGGCTGGCAGGGGTGAAACCATCTCCCAGCTAATGTACATCACAGTTCGACATCTACAGGCTTGAATAATTAATGTCTGCACTAATGGTACATTACAGGTGCCTAACACAGCAGGCAGGGGAGTTACCAGTGCCACACATTATCGTTACACAATTATCCTAATGGAGCTGCTGTGAGTCCGCTTGTCTGCACACTGATGGAGTCTAGCTCTTTACTCTCTCTAATAATTGGGAGCAATCTTATTGCAAACAGTCAATGTCCTTACAGTAATGTCTATAATGTGACTTAATAGACAGAACAGATGAAATATTTTACCTACTTATATGTACTAGTATTTCAGTCACTTAATATAATAAAATAGAAAACCTACAAATAGAAGCATTTTATCCATGACAGCCACTTTATCCTGTATGCCAATTTGTCCTGTTCAGCTTCTGTAAATCCTCTTACCACAGGGTAAAAATCACCCCTTCAGCCTGCAATTTGGAGGCAGGCAAAGACTAAAATTGAAAAAAAAAATACCTGCACTCTAAGAAACCCCCAAAATACTTGTCTGAACAAATACTTTGCTAAAACAAGCCTTTTCTATTTTGCTGTCCAGTCTAAAATCACACACAAAACTTGGTCCATAAATCATTATATAAATACTAAAATGCAGGTGATACCAGGTTATTCCCAGTGATTCATTCACCCACAAGTATTTTGACCAGACAATAGATGAAAACATTTTTTGCCTCTTACTTTAAATGTTGCAGTAAATCTTGGTTATCCTAAAAAGGTTGGTATTTATGTCTGTGATGATACCTGCATGCCTCCCTGGTCTTGTCACACACCAGTTCCCAGTGTTGCTGGTCTGTAGATACTTCTATGTAGTAACTGTAGCTACGGTCATCACAGTCCCACAGTAACAACCTGGAGAAGAAAAAAAGAAAGGACAGTCTTTCTCTAGATTTTGCAGGAATGACAGATGATATGTACAGTTCATAATGATTCAAATATTATATTGCACTACTATCTGATAGGAAAAGTATCATGCTTTATCTCAGTAGAGCATAACAGCTGTATATACTATTTACTAATAAGACTCAAATAAGCTTCTAGGTAGTGACTAGCTAGTAGTGACTGTTATGAAAGAGTGAATTTTCAATCTTTACTGATCAATACCACAGTGTTGCTCCTCCTGTCAGCTTAAAATAGAACTGCACTTAACTGAATGTGGCTGCTGAGAGCAGAGCCCAACAGTAATATCACCCTCTGTGGAGACCTTTTGAGCCAGGCAAGATTCAGTCCTTCCCTGATCCCCTCTGCTGAGTGATAGTTGATATAGGTACACCAGATCAAAAACTATAAACAACGAGCCTGTACCTCATGGAGCCGACGATGAAGGGTTGTGCCAGCTGCACCACGATAGCGCCGCTGCCCAGTTGGTGACACGTGTACCCCGAGTCCCAGTCGTAGTTCTTCGTGTCTCCATTCAGCAGAGCGTTGCGACTGCGACTCACGCCCTCGATCACACTGGCACTGTGCTGGGTCGTTGCTACGTTCTCTGAAGGGACTGAAGCAGGATAAAGGGGGATAAAGAGAAATGCATCATGTACAATACCTCCTGTAGAATAATCTGCACTATACAGTTATAGTTATATATATATATATATATATATATATATATGATAAGGGGGACAACTTCCAATAAGAACAAGCATCACTCACCCAGTAGTCCCTTCTCTAACTGGAAAGGTTTGTTGGTATACAAGCACTCAAAGGACACCAAGTGGAACACCTTGTTCACAGTGTTGTGCACTCCCACTATTCTCACATACCTGGGGAAAAAGAGTCGAGAAAGACCACTGAAATCCACTCTCTTCAACACAATTCATTTCAATTGTAGGATGGCACCTTCACTGCAGTTTGGGATGTATCAGACAATTTGCAGGACAATATGAAGTACATTAATAATGTACTTCATATTGTCCTGCAAATTGTCTAATACATCCACATGTCCATTTAGACATCCATTCAGAAAAAGTGTGCGAGGACATACATTATGTAAAAAAAGCTGTGACCTTGGCTGACAATAACATACGAAATCAACTTGCCACTTCATTTACCATAAAATAGGCAATCATTCTCTTCAGATACAAAAGCACATAAAAAAGACACTTTAAACCTCTTAATTTCACAGTTCAGCCTACATATGGACCAATAAATAGGTGAAGATTGCTTTTTTCATGGAGGAACACAAAGTGAAAGAGGCTTTTATGTTGTTAAGTGTGACAGTAACACAAACTTTATATCATGACTGTTAGAGTCAATTCTACTTTAACAGGATGTGATCTTCTCTCCACATCAGTCACAAAAGTGGCAGAATAACCACCATATTGAATCTCCTCCCCTGATCCATTAGCCTCCATGTTAAGGTAGTTTTTCAATACAAAATGTTATATTACTTCAGACCAATTGAGGGAAAAATTGTTTTTGGTGTGTGTGCGTGTTCATGTGTGTGTGTGTGCATGCATGCATGCATGTGCACACATGTCCTTACTTGTGTGTATGTGCATGCATGCATGTGCACATGTGTCCTTACTTGATGACTCTGGTGGGGAAGTGTAGTGTCTGCCAGGAGCGGCACAAGTAGCGAGAGTGGTCCACAACCCGCAGCCAGTCCTTCTCATCCATGGACACCTCCAGGTAATATGAGTAGGACCTGCAAAGGAAAAACAACAGTAAGAAACTTGATCCAAAAGAAAAAGAAACAGGGAAACTCTGATATTGTTTCATTGGCCATGCATTCTTTCGAATATACAAAGTACTACCACACACAGTCTGTGCCACAGTAACAGACCATGCCCCGATTACCTGGTGTCCCTGTCCCATAGTGCCCTGGTTATCTGGTGTCCCTGTCCCATAGTAACATATTGTGCCCTGGTTACCTGGTGTCCCTGTCCCATAGTAACATATTGTGCCCTGGTTACCTGGTGTCCCTGTCCCATAGTAACAGACAGCGCTGGTGTCCTGGTTACCTGGTGTCCCTATCCCAAAGTAACATACTGTGCCCTGGCTACCTGGTGTCCCTGTCCCATAGCAACAGGCGGATGGTGTTGATGATGCTTGGCTGGCCCAGCTTCACTACAACCCCACCGTTGTTCTCCTCAATGGGGTGTCTGGTGAAGCCTCTGTCTAGGTCGTAGTTCGTGCAGTCCCCATCCAGCAGCGCAGCCTTCATCTCGCCCTTGATGACCGAAGCCCCATGTCTCAAGGTCGCAATGTTCTCCTCGGGGGCTAGACAGGAATTGAGAAGCTTTCATTCATTTCTGGCTGCTTGACTAGCCAATGTTTATCATAAAGGGTTAGCCTATGATTTTGGATGGATACTTGTACCCTGTGGTGAACATCTTTTGCTTATTGGCCCTCCACCTGTGCCATCACAGCACAGAAAGCTCCAATGCTGCATACTACTTCATTGCTACCCCACTAGAACTACTAGAAGCTTAAGTTTCTTGAAAGCAATCTTTGTGACCAGTTGAGGTATACAAAAGCAACACAGGTGAATCTCAGGCTGAAGGTACTTGACAACAAGCACACAAAGTTCTCCTTGTTACTTACTGAGGAAGCCCCTGTAGTTGAGGTCCATGTCGCGGCTCTCTGACCTGGTTTTGATGGCGTCCAGAATGTTGTCGGGTTCGACCAGGTTGGTGGGCCGGACCACGTTCAGCAGCTCTGCCAGGCTCATTAGGGGGAGCCGGATGGACTTCACAATCTGGCGCACATCCTCGTTTTTATTCGGCTCTTCTTCAGACCAGCGAAGGGTGGCAGCAAAGATGTCTTTCTCCGGAGCGCAGAAGGAATCTCTGCTTATGATCTCCTTCAAGGCATCCTGAGGGGAGAATGATTTACACTTTGTATTGATATCATGATTCTATTAAATTACCAACTTTATTTTGGTGTATCAATTCATCTCTATGTGTCAAAAATTCATTCATTGAATTGTTGGTGGTGAATGTCCATCATTTTTTCTTCCAACAACAACAAAAAAAAAACACCAAAGAGAGTACAGTGATGCATGTGAGAACTTACATGAGAGAGAGTTAGGAAACCATCACTGTTCAGCACCTCCAGTGCGTTCTTATCCATGAACTCACAACAGGTGTGGCACAGGGACAATAGGGAGTAGAGGGTGGCCACGTCATACACCATGCATACATTACGGATGTTCAGGATGGCACGGAGGTAGTCCGAGATGGAGGCCTCCAGTTCAAGGAAGCCGTACTTGTGTGCCAGACCGAGGACATCCAGGATGTTCTCTTCCTTAAGATCTGCCAGGTTGATTTTGCCAGTGTAGATGTATCTGAGCAGGGCCTGGAAGGCGATGGCAGATGTCTCGGGGAGGGGGATCTCACCAGTGCCTGGCTTTGACTCTCTCATACCTCCAAACAACAGGGCTCTGGGAGAGAACAGTATGGAGTGTGGGGAATACTAATCTCCCCGTTAAGTCAAGGTGGACCTCTCAATCACTAGATTGTGTAATAACAAAAAAAAGAAAAGCTGCACAACACTTTATAAACTTTACCTCCCCATACAAATCCATTCATATTCATAATTTTGTTTATCATCCCTTTCATGAACCAACTGACAAACATCCTGCGTTAAAGCAGACATCATCTGCCTCAGGATCATCGGGCTACCTGCTGACGCACTCCCTACCCTAGCAAACAGGCGCGAGAGAGCTACACTGAGAACACTTGAAAGTATCTTAAAGGACAGTACTTCTCCTCTTTGGAGATTCATCACTACCCCCCCACCCAATCACTACAACCTCCGCAGGGGAAGACGCCACCAGTTAATGAGAAGTAAAAGCAAAAGACATTTAATGTCCTTTATAATGACTCTCAGTAGTAATGACTCTATGCCTCGAATATTTAACACATGAACTGCTAATCTTCTCACGATTTTATGGACTGCCTACTATTGTACTGAGTCTTCCCCCAGATATTAGTTGACTAAGTTTATATAACTACATATTGTTTAATTACTACTTTTAATGTGATTTTAAATTTGTTGCATAGTGATTTTAGAATTGTACTTGTTTTAAAAATTCAGTCAAACTCTATTATTCCATTAACTGTAAATGAGCATGCAATTCAGCCGTGAGGCTGCAATATGCTTTTCTGTAATAAACCAATTTGAATTTGAAGACTTGAATAATACCTATAAGAAAATCAGGGTCTTACCTGAAGTATTCACACCTGGCAGCCAGAATGATGCGATGTGCCGGGAACTTCTTGTCCTCCACGAGGAACGTGACATCACTGTACTCATCATTCAGGAACAGTGCGCCGATGTGTTCTGACAATACGTGAGTATGTTCCACTTCCCCCACGGGGGTGTGCACCTGCAGCTGGTTGTGGTTGTCAGACATTGTGCAGTAACAACGTCTATGTCCTCACCAATGCAAACTTCTCAGGACACCCATCACATGAACCTTCCAACACAAAAGAACATGTAGACTACTAGACGTCCAGTTGGTCGCCTTAATACTTTGAAAACCCTGTTTTTAACCAGCAAAGTGGTACATTGTGAAAGTCATTTGTCCTGTACTCAGCTTTGTGAGCACAAATTGTGTCAGTTGGAACCTGATCTGAATCCATTAACTCATTGATAAGAATTGGGAACCATCCCTGCTTTTACACAACTTCTTGTTACAAAACTGCCTTAAGGCAGTTTATCAGTGATGCGAAACAAAACAAAATATTTCCGGTGTGGATCTCCTTTTAACTATACACAATTCATGATTACCAATGGCTTGACCATGAGTGAACCCCAGACTTTGTGATTCAGAGACAGGCTTACTAATGGCTGGATCTAGACAACTGTACATGCTACTGTCTGGCCAGGTAGGAAATCAAACAACCAGACAGGTGTTCATGTGGTCAAAATAATTACACACCTCTGTCATGGGCCGCAGTGGAAATAGGTGTGATACAGGATGGATATTTCGGAAGGGGTGTGTGCGAAAACTGAAAAAAAAATGCACTGGATGGTTTTGAGGGCAAAATGCTCAAGAAAGTTGACACAATAAGAACCAAAATAACATTAGCAATAAAAACCTGAAGAGAATCTTTCCACATCCACCTTCTACATCATTGATCCTGGTCCATACATTATTAGTTTGATTATAAGCAATATAAACTGATGTCTACACATGTATCTAGGGGGCATTTTGCGACATCTTTGAACTCTGTCATCTGGTCGCAATAACAACATGATTTATTTAATATTGGGGTTCACATGACACAAGTTAAGTATGCCTACTAGTGCCTTTAATTATCAAAATTCAAAGCACCACTGATGTAATAGATTTTCTCTAACATTTTAAAGGAACATGACCATACCTCGTCCGCAACGTCCGTCGCCTGTACAGTCCAGGGGCCCAGCTTATATTCATGTGGAGTGCGAACTCAGTTGAACCCGCGTCATGTCAACACAACACCTTATTTGATTTTGTTGTGGTGGGTAACTATAAAACCGTCTGACAGTTCTGCTCAAACCATACATTTTTGTGCAGGTAATAAAACGCCCACTCAAGCCGGTCGGCTGTCTAGCAAACGTCGTTCCATCATCAGTCATCCAATTGGGGGTGGCCAAAGATGGAAGCAATTCTAGGAAATTCGCCAGTCAATATCGACGAATATGGCGATGAAGATCCAAGGAGGAGGGGCAGTGAAATTTTCATTTTACAGAACTCACAAGAAGATTAGAGCAATATGTACATTACAAAGGTGCATACAAGTCACTCACCTAGGATCTGGAGTATTGACGTGGTGAGATCGGGCGAAGAAGTCCGAAGTTTAGGCCATTTTTGTGCACACTTGCCCGCCTCTTCCTCTCTTCCTGTTTCTCAGCTGAGCCGTAGCACATACTGAAACAAGAAAATGTACCTCCGCCACATGTTTCAGAGTATTTGTAACGAAGAAGTACGAACTAGAAAATTACCCGATGTGCAAAAGACGATTTTGTCCCAATAATATACATGTATTTTTCTGGTTCGTGATAACATAAAGTTATAATGAAACTTAAAAAACTACATTTGTTGTACAACGACATGAGTATAATACATCCGCTGATGACCTTTGACCATTCTGAAAGTAGTTACCAATTTGAATTCTGAATTATTGCCATGTTTTTAAAGGGTGTGGTGTTTTAAATTCCCCTTGTGAAGCTTGCTGACGTTGGAATAGTTTTTGAACAGTTCAATAGATGTCACAACATTATCCAGCAAAAGTCTGCATTGTTCAAATATGGTCTACAACTAACAATAACATGTAACGTTAACTAACCATTTCTTACGCCTCCTAGCGACAGATAACAGGGTGTGCAGGAGTCTTTGTCAGTTGGTTTATACTTCCCTCCCGTTCAAAAAATCAATATCGCTAAACGTGTGACTTGTATATAGAACTGTGCCAGTGAACTTTTATCTGAAAATTAATGGTAAGATAGTGCGGAGCTATTTCAAATCCGCAACCGTTTTGTATGACGAGAAAACGAAAAACAACAATGCCTAGGGAAAAAATTACTTCATTTTTCCGTCATAGGGAAGTGAATAAAGTTACAGTTACTGTAACAAAGATAGTTAACGTTACCCGGATCCAAACGTAAACGAATAACACTAACGTTATTAAAATGTCATTGTATGTATCATTATCTTACAAAACTACTAGTAACTAATAGCCTGGGTTCCTAATCTCCAAGCAGATCTTTCGGTGGCAAGACAGTATCCATTG